TTGAGAGCCAGCCAAATCGAGAAGGGCTACCCACGGAGGGTTCTGACCACCGGAGGGTTCTGACCGGCAAGGGCCGAGTGAAGTACCGGTGAGTAAAGTACCGTGGAGTGCAGCCATCGAGGACGCTGGCTTTCGAAGGGGGTGGTAATGTAACAAGTCCCACATCGGGGAGGTCTCCTTACCAAGGAGGCCTTATAAGGCGGGAGGTTCTCCAACCTCTTGGGTCGGCTTTTGAGGGATGGTTCCCCTCCTTAGCCTTATGCTCGTTACATATTCCCTATCAAAGTCGGGACGGGTTCGGGTATTACCTGCAGGTACGGGTATATTTGTCATCCCTAGTGACAAGATTAGATGCATGACACATTATCACAAAGAGGTAATCGGAACCATTTATTAAAAGTTTCAATTTTTTGTAGATAAATAAACAAAAAAGTTAGGCCCAAACTTAAAGCAAGTGGTATTATAAATGATAAAAAAAAAATATAGATCTTGTTTTCTTTTTTAGATAAAAAGTACTATTTTTATTAACTGCCTAGTTAAAATAAGAGGTTAAATTAAAAAGAAATATACATATGTTATTTTAGTTTCGATATGAAATAACCCTATATGGTTGTTATATAAGAAAAAATTTACAAATTTATCTTTCCCATATGTCAAAATTTTAAAGATTGCAGAGTTTTTATTATAAGGACCAAAATACAAGGTTTTTCATGTAATAACTAAAACAAAAACAAAAAAGAATTAAAAATAGGCATTAAATTTTCAAGTTAAGAAAAAAAAAACTAACGAGAAATTGTTAACTCATTTAGAGTTGATTCATGCATCATAAAAGGAGTCATGTTTGATTTGAAAGCAATTGTATCTATTAATGGAATGGTTTTCTTTGGATCATACATTTCAACCAACTCAATGTTTGGATCCACCTCCAGTGCTTCATATAGATTGAGATAATCAACATGATAATAATGTTAATGTTTAAAAGTTTAAAACATTTTACTTTTTTTTTGTTATTTTTTACAAATTTTATCAATAATATATATATATATATATATATATATATATATATATATATATATGTGTGTGTGTGTGTGTGCGCATAAGAGATTTAATATTCTCATTTATATATTAGTATAACTATTTTTTAGGTATTTTTAGATTTTCATAAAAACATAACACCTAGCTAATTTGCGTGAGAATAAATCCATCACAAACTAGATGAAATTTGAATGATGAATCATCACTAATTAGTCAAGGATTAAGTAATCTCTCATAAAAATGTAATAGATTTAAATCCTAAAAATTGTGATGGAAAAATCTTATCATAAATTAGCAAGATATAATGTAATTCTTTGCTATTTGTGACACATTAAAATCCGCTACTTATTTGATAACATTGTAAGTGTACGATATCATCTAGTAATAAAAGTATTCTTAAAAAACATTGGTTAACACACAAGAAAAGGTTGAATTGTGTGTTTAAGAAACTTTTTGCTAAAACATTTTTCTAACCCAAGTTAGTTAGCACCTTAGCAATAAATAAAATAAAAACTATCGTTCAAATTGTAAAGAAGGTCAAGGAAAAAAATCACACAAGTGTTTTTATATTGGTTCATTCTATACCTGAGAAGCACATCAAGTTTTGCCTAAGGATTTTACTACTCAATCACAAAGTAAAAAGTTAAGTATTCATAGTCTCTCCGAGCTTTAGAAATTTCTAGTCATGACATTGTATTGGACTTCACCGTGTATTCATTCTACCAAGCTTCTTTAGGCTTTTACAACAAAGGGGTAGGAAGTTTACAAAGTGTTTAACTCATTAGGATGACAATATGAAAGTTATAAACAATTGAAATCATTCAATACCCATCTAACACAAGTTACTATTGAGTTACAAAGATTTTTCACTCAAAATACTTGAGTATGTATATGATAGCTTTTTATTTGATTCATTTTGTTTTAGATCTCATATAGTTTATCAGTTTGTCTCCAAAATTGAAAAAGGTCTTCTATTTACTGCCTTTGAGAAAACGTACATTGGGAACATTGTAGGGGCAAAGCATTTATAGCTGACACTACCTTTGCATGTCCCAAACAAGGTACAACGTATTTCATGTCTTCTTGTGCCATGTAGGAGTGATAAGACTACTACTACAACAATCTTTGTAGGTGTGGATTTGTACATTTTTATTTTTTGTTATGCATTATGAAAATTTTCTTTTTATATGCTATCCACTTATATGCAATACAAAGAATGTTAAATCAAAATCCCTTATGAATACATGTTTTATGGTTAACAAACTTGAACATTTTTTACAAAGAAATGTTTTTTTAAGATCATATAAAAAAAATGACAATATAAGACAATTGTTTATGCTGATGTGTAGTCTTTCATATGAACCACTTTGTTTGTCTAAGGTGAATGCATTAAATATGTCATTTATTATGTTTGATAACCATGTCTTCTATGTTTATGTTATTTGTTAAAAGATCAAAGGAATAAAAGGTTCTTTGGTACTTAGACTTCAAAAATGAACAGAGATTTGTTTTTTATTAAAGAAAGGACAAGAAAATATCTTGAAGTGTGCAAAGTCAAAGATAAATTCATTTCTAACTAACATACACAATAATTCCCCTCATTTTGTACCTTAAAGGTGATAAGTAGCCTTATTGATCAGATAAGAAGCCACAATTTGCTGAAATGTATTTAATGCTCGCATTCAACGCACCAATGGACATCTTATTCCTTAAAGGTTTAAGATATTACTTCATTGTTTTGAGAGAAAAAAAAGTGGTAGTTTTTTATTAACATTGTTGAACTCCTTATGCTAGTGTATTTCTTTTCTCCACAGTTTGGTATCAAAGCTCAACCTTTGATGGAGTTGATCATCTAATTGTGCTAAAGGAAAAAATCCTAAAATGGGAAGTAGTGAAGGTTAATACTTGCTTGAATGAGCTTCTATTATAAGGCCTCCAACCTTTAATTGATAAGACTAACCATATTAGAAGGAGAAAATGGTGATATTCATTAAGCTCACCTAATATCATCTTTGGAAGATCATCACAAAGCGATGATTTCTTGTGACCAAGCCTAAACTCGAGTGCATACAAGAAGACTACAACATCTTACAACTCAACACAAAAGCAAGATATATTTTGGCTTACTCTTTGTCACAAACTAATAGTAACAAGTTCTATAGTTGCGAGATTGTTAAAGAAATGTGGGAAGCCATCATGGTAACTCACGATGAAAATGAACATGTAAGGCTTAAAAGAGTTGTTACTCTTCAAAGACACTATGATTTGTTCTCTATGAAGAAGAACAAAACAATTGATGAGATGTTTAGAAGATTTAAAAATATCCTTAATGGGCTAAAATCCTTGGAATCTAGGTTTTCCAAAGCTTAGAAGAACTTGAAGATCTTGGATAGTCTTCCAAAGGTCTAAGATAGTAACAACAACAACAATTCAGACAATGAAAAGGACAACATGTGTCTTATGGAAGATGCAGAAGAAACAAAGATAGTAAAATCTAAAGAGGAGATATCTTATGAGACTCTAGTTTTTTGAAAGATCAAACAATTGTTTTGATGAAGAAGAAATATCTTATGAGACTCTTTTAGCAAACTTTCACATAATTACTCTTAAGTACGAAAATTTGAAGAAAAATATAAACTAATGGTTTTTGAAAATGAAAAACTAAAGAAAAATCTATTAGACATTGCTAAGGAGATCCAAAGTCTAAAATACTAAACCACAAGAAATGAACAATCTGAGGTTACAACATTGCAAGATAAGAACATACAACATGAGAAGGATCTTGCCAAATTTATTGATGGATCTTCTAAGTTGAATATGATTTTAAAGCACAAAAGATTGTCATCTAATAAAAGCAGTCTTGGATTTGATAAAGAGAAATTTGAAGCTTCTTCCTCAAAACCTTAGTCAATTTTTCGCAATATATGTGGTAAAAATAGTCATCATACCAACAGATGTAACCTAAGAGGAAGTAGAAAAGGAAAAATTAGAGGTATACCTTTTGTTATAAATATCCACTGTGGAAAAAAGGAAGGGTTCACACTGGTAACTAGACAGTACTGCTCATGACTCATGATAGGAGAAAAGTCTATGTTCCTAGACCTTTAACCTTATTTGATAACTTCTAGAATAAGTTACAACTTAAACACCCTAAACATGTGATGCAAGCTATAGTTTTGAAGGATTGTGCTATTTTGGCCTTCTCAAGAGATACTCATAGCCAAGAGCATAATCTAGAAAGAATGGTAACATGGAAACAACTAAATGGCTCAATGGGTTTTAAACATGGATGGAAGTATGGCTACAACATCAGGTTAGGTGGGATTTGGAGGATTATTACATAATAGTTCTAGGGATGGAAAAATATACTCGGACCCTATAGGCACCTACAAAAATACCCTCATGCAGGATAGGTAAATACCCACTTATATGGGAATGGGTACGGAGCGGGTATAAACCCGCAAAATTTAGTGGGTGTAGGTGTGAGTATGGGTACTATGGCACCCAACCTATCCTGCCTCGTAATTATATATTAATTAATATAATAATATTGTTATTATTTTAGATCTAAGATACAAGTTAAAGTTGTTGAAGTACTTTTTTCCTAAGCTTTATGGTAGCTCATCTTTAATTGAAATTAATAATATCAAGAAACTATGTTACTAATTGTTCGAAGAGTATCAAACTAAAGTTAAGGAAATAGTACAAAGTTCTACTTCATGAGCAAATATCAAGGATTCAAACTTGAATAATCTAAATATTAACAATTTTATTAGTGATTATGAGTCATTTGTGAACGATACAATTGAAACACAAAAAAGTCTGAAATAAAACTCTACTTGGAAAAAAAAAAGTTTTGCCTAGGAGTGCTACTTTTGACATTCTTGGATGGTAGAAAACAAATGGGATTAAGTATCCAATTTTGTAAAAGATTGCTAAGGATGTTTTGATAATCCCTATTTCAACCATAACTTCAAAATTTGCATTTAGTACAGGAGATAAATTTTTTAGTCTTCATCGTTCTATGTTCCATGAATTTACTTTGGAGGCACTTATGTATATACAAAATTGGTTGAAGTACAAACAATAAGGTAATAAATAATTAAAGTTTGTTTATTTAATAAAAGTTGTTTTTATTTTTTATTATTAGTTTTAATTATTAATTTAAATTGTCTAATCATCCATTTTATCATCATTTAGTTTCTATTGGTATTACTAGGTTCGAAGACAAGCATTTAGAAAAATATGGAAAAGTTGATTCCGATGATGAGATCAAATGTCTACATGTTTGTTTTTTTGAAATTTATAGTATATAATTTAATCTATAATTTTAATCTTATTGATTTTTGTACAATTTTTTTCATACGTCTTGGAGAATATTGTTAACACATGATCATGGTGTTGGAAGTTTAATTACAACTTTTATTACATTGATTTCTTTTAAAAGTTTATTTACAAGAATTGAATTTTTTGTATTTATAAAAGAATTGTTATGTTAGACTTTTGTAATGTTAAAAACCTGACAAATTAATATTATGTTTGCTTGTATGAAATGTTTTCTCTTTATTGATTTATTTACTTTATACATAAGTAAAATGTGGATGCTGATATGGGTACACATGTATATTCAACGGATACAGGGATGAGGATTAAAATTGATAGCCACACGGGTATGAGACTGGATACGAGTATTATTTTTAATTGTAGGTATGAGAATAGGTACTATAGGATCCTACCCAGACCCTATCCATTGTCGTCCCGATTCCAATTAGGCTTTTTAGTCACAATAGTGTGTTGTATGCAAAGCCTATGGCACTATTTCATGGCATAAGTATCTGTTGGAATAGAGGATTCAAGGGGGTAACATGTTATTTTGACTCCATGCTTATGATAAACTTGATCAAGCAGGGTGATGGAGACTTGACTTGGAACCGGATTGGATTTGATTCCTCTTCAAGCTTTTCCTTAGACCTTTGGCTCCTTGGTTCTCCTTAAGCTTCTCCAAAGCCTCCAATGGTGGATGAAGCTTCAGAATTCACCTTCAATGGTGAGGAACACTCCCAAATGGCGCCACTCCTTAGAGGAAGATTAGCCACTTCAAATCTCACTACACTCTTGTATGAAGAGGATAAGAGAAATGGAATGGAATTAAAGAGGTTAAGACTTTTGGAAGAGAGAAAGTTATGAAAAAATTTCATAAATCTCTCTTTAATATCATCAAAAGTGTTTACAAAGTGAAAGAAAAGGCTTATATAGTGAGGGTGTGGCTTGTGGTGCAAGCTAAGCTAACTATGGTTCAAGGAGAACCATGGTTAGCCTTCTTGCACTCAAGCTAACCGATCTAGTTATCTAGGAGGCTTGTGGAACAAGCTTCTAGCTTGGGAAGCAAGTTAAGCTAGAAGCTTGTAGCACAAACTATCCAATTATGTGGGAGAAGCCAAGTAATTTCGGCCAAGGAAGGGAGCTAGGCGGCCAAGCTTGTTTCCTTCACTTAATTCAATCCAAAACTCTTGGAATTGGTTTAGTTAGGTTCACCAAATTATGGTGAGACCTAGCTAAATCAATTCCTTGAAAAAAAAATTGAGGAAAACAAATCTAATATGTAAAATTTAGTCTAGGCCCACCAAAGGCCCAATTACTAACAAAATTTACACACCTTACTATTTGTCACCCCACTTCTACTACTAAAAATATGAAAATTAATGACCCTTAATACAAGGTCAAATGCAGCAAAAGTATCAAAGCAAAATACACTAAAATCACACAGGGATATACTATAAGAAAAGAAAGAAAGTGTCTCACAAATATGGAAACAAAATATACTTATACAAGTAACTACTATGTACAAGTATCATACAAGGTATATACAATAAAAACTAAAGAACTAAAAAGAAGAATCATACTCAATGTTCATAAAGAACATAGGTCCAATAAGCACTTCCTCTGTAGAAACATCTTCTAACCTCCTAATCATGGACCTAGTTAAAGGTTCAATAATCTTCAAGTGTATATCCTCGAATGATCCTTCATCACGATGGATATCATACTCCACTTACATGCTAATCAAGTGTATATCCTCCTTGAATGATCCTTCATCACGATGGATATCATACTCCACTTACATGCTAATGAGACGGTCACTATCAAAGAGCATATGTCGAGAAAGTGGGGTTTGTCTCTACAACACACTTTTAGAGAAGGAAATTATTGTGTAGATTACTTGACAAAATTGTGTGCAACTGGAGATGATAAGTTTGTCCTGATGTTGGAGCCCCTAGATGATTTGAAAAGGTTTTTACGAACTGATAAGAAGGAAACTTTTGTGCACATTACTAGGTATTTTAGTTGTGTTTCTAGTTTTCTTTTCAGCTTTCTGTGCGTTTCTTTTTTTCTTTTTTGCTTATGTAACCAAAAAAATAAATAAGGAGGTATAAATAACCAAATTCTTTGTTTTCCTATCACTATTGCTTTGGGTATAAATAAAGTCCAATTATTTGATGAAAAGGTAAAGGAAAAAAGAATTTGTAAACACCTAGAATGATACCAGAGTAGAATTTTACGTGTACGAAGCCAAATTTTGGATTAAGACTCGTTACATAAAAACTAGTGTCCAACATATAAAAATAATAATAAATAATAAATAAAAAAGTGGTCACTTCAACTTTACTGCAAGACAAGTATACATTTAATGAATTAATGAATTCTTGACTGTAGCTAACATCACAATTTACAACACAAACTATTCAATCACCTCATTTCTTCCATTGCAAAAATTACTTCCTAAAGATTTCGGGGATGTAAGTAATTCTTTAGTTTCATGCGTCTTGCATAGAAATTGTACCATGCTAGGCGTAGTCAGCAATTTTCATCCGCGTTATAAACAGGTATCTGCCAAAGTTTAGTGTTCTTTTTCGGGTCATCGGTGAGGCTAAGATCTGTCTCATCCTCCTTGAAAGTTCTAATGAACGTTTTAGCACCCATCATTATAAGCCTCTCAATCATGAATAGTTGGTAATTGTTCTCAATTAATGGATCCAAGATATGGCTATAGTTTGACGAATATGCCATTCTATACCTGCAAATGAGTCATAAAGAGTATTAAGTAAAAGTATTTGATACTGGCAAAAAGTTTGCTCCAGAAACTTAAGTACATAATATTATTCTTAATTTATAGGGTAAAACACTATTTGGGTCCCTGAAAGTGCATATGACTAACAATTTAGTTCCTAAGAGTAAGGAAATTTTTAATAAAACTTGAAAGTTCTAGTTATTTCATTTAAGTTTATAAAAGTAACCACTTATTAGTTATTATCATTTTAGTTCCCAAATATCCATTTATATTATCATTCAAGTCCTGCTTTTTTTTTTAATTTTGGATTAAAGTGAGTAACATTATATGCTTTCAGGGGCTTTTTTCTTATTTTTTATACTTTCATGGACCATAGTATCAGGGTCATATACTTTCAGGAGCTCAGATGGTGTTTTACCCTAATTTCTATTAACAATATTGACTAAAAATGACCAAGTGTCCATAAGCAGTCAAATCTAACAACCAGCCACGAATAATGCATCATAAAACAGATGAAGGACACAGTTCAGAAAAAACTGAAGTGGTAAAAACACTGTAATTTAAAGAATGCAAAGAGAAGCATACTACAATTATTGCAATTTTTTTTTTAAATAAATCCAGATGCTAACTTAAAAATAACAATAATTTCCAGTGGAACATAAATGACAAACATGTGATCCAAATATTAAAATAATGTTTAGCCAATAGCAACCACTTATCGCAAACGCAAATTAGTATTTAGTTATCAACTTTGAGACAGAGCATGAATTATGCCCACAGATAAAAAATAATATTGTTTCCATGACCATTGCGCAACCAAATGTTTTATTTACTGTCAATCTATCAGGCATAATTGGTGCAGCCAAAGAAATTATTATGTAGGAATCCCCTCTCGCGTCCCTCCCTCCTCCCAAATGTGAACAAGAGAATGATTACCTGACAGAAAGTGGTGAGAAAAAACCAGGAGTCCTTTCATTTGAAGCAATATACAAGGTTCTTCCTGGTGGGACCCACTTTGCTATCCTACAAATAATGAACTCTGGCCGTGTATCCCTATCAAGGTGAGGATGCAGGCTCCTTGCTACACCAAATCTATCTTTCCTGGTATTTATTTTATCCCCACGACGAACATGGATGGCATCATAATCACCAAGTAATGCTTTGATCTGTGAACATGAGTATGATCAGAAATTAAAAGTGTAACAAATAGATACTGTTCTATTGCAATGCGACAGTTTCAATATACCAAGCATATATTACCGCAAGTTTTGAAATTTACAGGTAATAAGCAAATTGTCATCTATTGGGGCTTAAATAAATTTCATTAATCCTGTCCCAAATCTATATCCCTATTATAAGGGAAAAAGAATAACTCAAAGGACAAAATATAGATACAGTATTATAGGTATTGTTGGTATTGTTATCCGATCAGAATTAGTATTAGATCTCAATAATACACGTTGACATTTAATTAAATCCTTTATTATGCATATTATTTGGATAAAACTCCAATTCTGATTGGAGAACAACTATGATATTATATGTAAATTTTATCGACTCAAATCCCTCAAGCACTGGTTCGCCTAGCAATCATGCATGCAACAAAATGCAGAATATATTGTCAATGTTTTCTGAAAATTGATAGCTACCAATAAAAAATGACTGCATTTGTGACCACACAGTACCAGCCAAGCTCAAAGAGAGGTTTTATCAGTGTTATATGATCAGTTATGCTATATTTATAGTAATCGTGGCTTTAAAGCAATAACAAGAGAAGAAAGTGGGAGTAGTACAATTAAGCATGTTAAGATGAATGCATTAATATACAATAAGGGACCAGATGCAAAAATGATTGTATATGAGGATATACTAGTGTGATAACTATAGAAGAAACGATTACAGAAAATCGGTTAACGTAGTATGAACATGTGCAAAGAAGACCACTCGAAAGCACCAATGAGGAGAGTAGACACATGATTTTTAGCACTATGACAAGAATTAGAGAGAGACCAAGCAGGATTTGGTTTTAATTGAGCCCAATAATATCACGTTATCCATGTAGCCAACATCACCTAATAGGATAAGGCTATTGTTTTTGTTGTAGTAGTAGTAGTGTAGTGACAACTGCCACTAAATTTAGTTCCAAGAATTTTACCTTAAAAATAGTTTTTCCATAATTCTAAACCATGTGTGATGGCAGCACTATAGCAATGTTGCAGGGCATCGAACACAACTGCCACTCCTTTGACCCCTCTAACTTAATTCAATGTCACGGCTGGAGCTGTGCAAATCGTGGCTGCTTTTGAACAATTTTGTACTCATCTCAACTGCTATTTCTCCAATGGACATAATGATCCTCTCTACCCCTGGTTTTGTGTCATTAACCTGTTCAGACCTTTTTCTAGTCCATGTTTGTGCTCCCCCACTTGAAACCCTAACTCTACCATCTCCAACAAACCACAGCTCTCTCCAGCAAGATTCCCTACGGCCCATTGTCCATGTCAATTCCCAGTCAGAATCCGGTGGCGCACATCATTTCTGATGGTACCCTCAATATTCAGTGAAGACCCATCTCTGTTCTGGTCATTTTCTAGCTTGCTCATCTCTGTTCTGTTTCCTTCTCTAATCTGTCCTTTAACCTCTCTAAAAGGTTGAATCAGTAATGGCTTCATCCACTCTGTCACAGGGGACACCACCAAGCACTGCCTTGCCTCTGCTTCTATATCAATTTCTCCCTATAGTCCTATACATTGGCAAAGGCTAATGTAACAACTATAAACGTTGGCAGTGGAATAGTTTAAAAAAGACATAACAGTACAGAGGCTATATTATTTGACTTTTGTGGCAAAACTATCACCAACAGTATTACCCAAGCAAAGAGACATCAAGTGGGAACGATGGGAGATGTTGATAGTTGTACAAAGGCTCCTTCTAAAGTGAAATACATATTCACAGAAGCCTGCACGAGGAAGAAAGCCAGACATACTTGATGAGACTCAAGAATGAGGAGGAGGAAGAGGTGGAAGAAGTTTTGAATATTCAAAGTGGAAAAACACCGGCAACTTCCAACTGTAGCATCATCGGACCCACTACCATTGTTAAGAAAGCCAAACATATCAAAGAAGGATTTGAGCATCAAAGTATGCAACACTTAGTTTTTATTAAATATAACCAAGGTCTTAAAAACCATTTCAATTATATTAATATGATGGATCCCATTCTCCTATATGGTGTTGAATTGTTGATATTTGATAGTAATGAGTGGTTTTTACTTGTTAGAAGAAATAGATGGAAATGATGAAGGTGCAGAAGATCAAATGGTGTTTGATGATGGTATCTTGACTTGGGGAATTGTTGCCACTTGCCATTGCAATTGGGGGTAGTGAGCCTACGTGAAAAACAAGATCAAAGAAGTCAACGTGCAATTTAGGGTTTAGTTCTAGGCCTTCAAACTAAGGGAAAAGGAAACAAAGTTAAACAAGAAGAAGAATGTGTTGATGAAGAAACCGAAGAAGCAAAGTTAAGAAGCTTGTGTTAGAATTTGAATATTAATAATTACTTGGTTTAAGGCTTAAACGTGTTTGATTCTTTTAATTTTTTTGTTATTGGCATGTGTGTTTAGCTCTCAGAAAAGTTAAGTCCCACATCGAGTGGTAAGGGAATGTTCAGTAGAGAACTTAAGTGCAGCTTGGTTCTCCCTCTTGTATATATTGGTTCTCCCAAATCCAATATAGAAGAGCTAAAAATATTTATATTCTTAAAGTTGTATTCTCCAAGACATAGATTCAAAACCCTTAATAAAAATAAAAACGAATTTAAAACTAAATCAATCATACATTCAAATACTAAGGACTGTAAAAGACCATGTAGCAGATGGACCTTTTCTGCTGCTTCTCGTAATTTCCCTGCAGCCATTGTCGGCAAAAATGAATATGGCAACATTATGGCACTGCGGTTGTTTCGATCCTTGCACTCCATAAACCTGAAGAGTCACTAACACTTCAAAAAATGGCGATAACTTTAAGAAGAATCTCTGCCCATGGCATTTAACAACCAGTTTTATGAGCAATCATCTACATAGCAGTATCATTTTGGCAGTTATGGCATGGCACGATTTACAAATCAACTTAGTTGTGATACAATTAAAACTTCAAAGTCAACCACATTGTACATATTTTAAACTCAAATTATACATTTGTCATGTATATCAGTTTTAATAGCTCACGTGTTCTAGACTTCCTATCAACAAATGTCTTTTGATCATGCATCAACTTCTACAATCCTGCTTGTTTGAATCAAATTCCTTTAACAAGAAAACATATATTAAATTAATACACATTTTTGATGCAGAGTGACGACAAATTTTCATACAAATTGTCACTTTATTAAATATTTTCAGCTTGACAAGCATAACAAATTGAATACAGAAAATTTGTATTTTTCTCCATCCTAAAAGACAATCTTTATTGTTTCCTGCATAAATTGGCTGAAAGTCAAATATGATCCTTTCTTATAGAAACCTACCCCACTTACTATTAAACAATCAACCTTATTTTACAATGTAATAAAATAAATCAACCATAATTCTTCTTTATGTACCTACCAAGAGAGAGGGCTCGCAGTTCTGTTTATGAGCAACAAATCTGAGTAGCGACTATTTTCTTTAAGTTCAAGACGGCTAACTCCTTCCACATGTGCAACTCCTCTGGCCCCCAACTTCATGCTCATCGATAGAACCCTATACCACTCTTTTGAATTGTCCAAAATTACGGGAACCGTACCTGACATAAGTTCTGTGTCATATAAAGACTCCATGGCACAAGAAGTTGCATCCCACCTAGCACATTAAAAAAAAAAGACCAATTACATCAAGCAAAGCAATGCAATGAAAAAGTATAACAGGGTACATTAACAATAATAAAGAAACTCACAGTTCCTCGGAGCTGGCATTAGCGGAATGATGAAGGATCCCTTTCTTGTTATGAATGGGATTAATACACATCCTCGAAGGCATCACAAAAGTTCTGCAAGAAACACATAACAACTTCATTTAGCATTTCCATTTCAGTCCTTGCAATTGTATTAATTACAATTAAGGATTCAAATTACTGTCCACAACTGCAACAATAGTCCATACCAATACACTTTCTCTTCTTATCCAAAAAAAAAAAAAAAATAACAAATACACTCTCCCTTCTTAAATTCATTGAAATCATCCGAGACACTCATTAACTAAAGAGCCAAATACATATAATTTTGTGATACATAATGAATTACAACATTCATAGGATTCATTTTAGCAAAGGAAAAAACTTAGATACAGAATTATAGGTACTGTTGGTGTTATTCTCCAATCAGAACTGGAGTTTTACTTCAGTAATACATATTAACATTTAATGGAATCATTTATTGCACATATTAATATTACTAAAGTGAAACTTTAACTCTAATGAAAAAACTTAGACATAGTACCATAGTTACTATTGGTGTTGTTTTTCATTTAGTATTAGATTTTTCAGGAATAAACGTTGACATTTAATGGAATAACTTATTATGTATTTTACCAAAGTAAAACTAATTTTGATTGGAAAACAACACCTATGCTACTGCAACTGAATTTTGTCCAACAAAATAGTACATATGGTAGTACTAAATGTAAGTTTTATCCTTTATAGTAAATGATATGAGAGGTGGTAGAACGCAAGAGAAGAGATAATTATGAGAGAATCAGCAAAATGGAATCAATTGAAAACTGGAAAGATGAAGCCATCCTCACCTTGTAACCATCTAAGAGCCGGCTTTTTAAGTAAACTTTTTCAAAAACACTTCTACCATGGAAAAATATAAGTTTCTCCATAAGCTAATTTGTAGAAGTTCTCTCATGTTATCCAAGATCTTATTTTTAACTTGTGCATAACTTGATCGTAGTTTATCCAAAATCTTATTTTTAACTTATGCATAACTTGATCAGAGTTTATCTAAAATCTTATTTTTAACTTATGCATAACTTGATCGCAGTTTATCCAAAATCTAATTTTTATGGAAAAACTTATTTCAACTTTCCGTTCTCCTTAACTAGCTAGCTAGCTATACCTCTAACAGTAGTTTGGTAACGCTACAAAAATCAAAAAGAATTAGCGACCAAATTGATGTAGAGGAGTTGCTTTCTCGTGGGGCTACAAGAATTTGACAAGTTGCACACAAATCATTGGGTCAGCAATTCAAATTTGTGACGTTGCAATTGAAGAGAGCGGAGAGAGTACCTGGAAAGGAAGATGGCTTCTTCGAGGGCGCAGCGGAGGCTGGATTCTTGGTGACCGAGGCCCTCGCAAGATCCGCAGTGTTTTCCGGGGCAGTCGATGCGGGTGCCCCAATAGAGGTACTTTTCGAAGTGTTGTTGTTGTTTTTGTTGTGGAAGGTTGGGCTTTGAGGCGGTGGTGGAGAGCAGAGAGGAGAAGAGGAAGAGGAGCGCAATCGCTGTGACTGATGCTACGAGGACCAGAATTGGGGATCTCGCGGGCTTGGGCTTGGGCTTTGGGCCTCTGTGAAGTGCCATTGAGATTTTAACTGCTGGAGAGTGGAGGGACACAAGTGTTTAGGATGTTCTCATTGCGCTTCTCTTCTGCTCTGTTCAGTTGAGTGAGGGAGGGAGATTTCAGATTCTCTTCTCGCCATTGCTGTTAGGACTTGTAAGATAATTCTTTCATGATACTTCCAATATCTCCAAAAAAAAAAAATATATATATATATTAAATGTTAATTTTTCGAAACTTATAATTAAATTAAAAATTCTTATTCTTAGATTATACGTAGATTATATGTATAAAATTATATATTAATCTCGAATCAATTCATTATTTTATTATATAATGTAATATATTTATTTTAAAATATATTAAAATATAAATATTTTAATTATTTTTAAATTATTTAAATTGAATAAAATTTGATATAAACATATAAAATAATATGAAATTACAATTAAATTGACAAAATTAGTGTAATAGTAAATAAATGATACACTGGTTTAGATTGAATTCTCTTCCGTATATATTAACATTACAAATTTGAATTTTTAAATACATTAATTAAATAGGTATTAAACTAATTCTTTTTATTAAGTTCTTAAATTTTATATATTAAAGAAAATTACAACTTTAAGATTAGTTCTATAGCTTGAAATGAATTAGGAACCTCTACAATTTAGAGAGAAATTACACAGCGTGGAGTAGGTATGACAATCTAACCCGCGTCTCATGGATACCTGTCCAAACCCGTCTCGATTTGGATGGAGAAAACTTGTGTTTATCAGGTTCGGGTTTGAGTTTTTTCTGATTGATAAAATGAGGGCGGGAGTGAGGACGGAGATGTCAATACCCGCCCCGCCTCTACCCCGCTTAATAATAAATTAAAAATTTATTTTTATATATATAAATTAAAATTAGAAATATTTATATGTAAAAATTTGTATTATTTTATTTTATTTTTAAATTTTTCATATTTATTAGAAATAAAAAATAATAATAAAAATAAAAAAGTAGGAGCGGGACAGGAGTGGGAAAATCCGAACCCTACCAAAGACAAGAATCGATACCCAGATTTTATCTTCAACAATTATCGAGGACGAGGACGGGAGTAGGGAACATAAAACCCGCCCCGCCCCACTCCGTTTTCTTGCCATGCCTAACATGCAGTTCTAGATCTCACCATTATATATAATAAAATTTTATTTTATGATGTAATGAAATATATTTATAGATGAGATTCGTACAGTTTAACTTAGAACAGTAGATGATCAAAATCTGCTTGAAATTGTCATAAAATGACTATATATGATATAATTTTAACAAATCCTAGTTACTCATTTGAAAATAAAGTTTAATTATTCATTTGATTTTTGTAGTTATATAAATTTCACTTTTTAATTCATACACTTGAAAATGATATATTTTATTCTTTATACAAATATTTTAAATTCTTTTTTGGAGTTAGCTATTATAAAAAATGAGCATTTTAAAGGTGGAAGATGCGAAGCTTATGTAAGATTATTATATGGTGTGTTTTATGTTTAGTGTATGTTTGGTTTGATGTTTGTAGTGGGCAATTCGTTCATATCAATCGAGTCAGACATACTTCTCCGTTTAAATGTTTTGGATAGTATGTTAACGAATATTCATACGCAAACTTAGTTTTTATGCTTACATTATTTTTACATTTTGATTTTTATACTTATATAATCATTATTTTTTTTTAGTCAAGATTTTGAAACTACTTGTTTTAGTTCTATATAAACATCTTTTTTTTTTCTTTAAGTTTTCATTAACATTTTTATCCTTGTTTCCCCTCCTACTTATAAATAAATTTAGTAAGAACAGTAAGAAAATTTATTTAGGCTAGTATGAAACAAATAGTTTTTGAAACTAATTATTTTAAAAAAAATTTACCAAGATTTTACTAGGAAATAAATTTTCACTATCATTTATTTTTCACTAGAAAGTTTAAAATCATGCAAAACTAAACTAGGCAATATTAAAAATCATCTAAACTTGTTTAATTAAAATAAAACACAAAAAAAAATACATTAAAATTGAGAAAATGAGTTTAAGTAACTTTTCAGCCTAATAACTAAGTAATTCACCCGAATAAAGTCTAATCCATAAACACATCTTTAATATTTAAATTTGGGTTAGTTAGATTCTATGAATTATATTCTTTAACTCCATTATATCTTTCTCTATTTAATGGGTCTCTTCTATCATTTGCAAAATATATTTGACATCTTGATAAATTCCTATCATTCCCACCTCTTCTATGTGATTCATCCTCGAATAAAGTTTGGAATCTTGTTTTGCATATGGATCTACTACCTAATTGAATTGCTTTGTCCATTGAATCTTTATGTACAATTCTTTCTCGGACATCAAGAGAAAAGAAGTTATAGGATTAGGTTGAAAAGAAAAATCAAGTTGATAATCCAATTTAGAAGAAAGGAATAGAGCAGTAAAAAATGACTCATCCATGACTTTAGAAGTTAGTCATTCTCTAGCTCTCTTCAACTCTTTTTTATCTTGCAATATTTTTTAACTTTGATTCATCATGCCATATCCATCAAATTTGGACTCAAAATCTAGAAGTGTCTACTAAGTTCCTTCAAGCCTTATGAAATTTGTGACACCCTTACTACCCCAACACATATATAAATATTAATCATATAAATAAACTAAAGAATAAAATTTTTAACGTTGGTAAAAGGGTTCACATAAAACCTTCATATTCATTTATCAATAACCAACATAATAATTGAAAATAAAACTTCAAAGTTTACAAATTGTTTTCAAAATCATATTTACAATTCCAAATCCATATAAAATCTATGTCCTAAAAATCCTCTGCCCCGATGTCACAATATCAGAGCATACCCACAATTCAACTGTTGGCATTCTACTCGTAGCCGGATCTTCCTCACCTAAAACATCCACAATTTATACGGTGAGAAAAGAAAATATCTATATGCAAAGTACATACAACCACATCATAATGAAATCTCATCATAATTCATATATATATATATATATAAGCATGTATCATAATTTATCAATCCATCACCATCCACACAATTTTACGATTAACAATATCATTTCCACATCCATAATTCAAGCCAATCTTACAATTAACACCATGCCAAGACCTCGCCACATCTGACACAAGTGATACGGGTTAATTGCCTCACTCAACCCACACCATACTAGGGTTCGTATCATCCCTGATCATCCAGGAGTACGCTCGTCCCTGAAGCATGAGTGTGAGGAACCACAATCACATTACAATCCATACAGTCTCTTGCAATTAACCCTATGCCAGGGCTGCCATAATCGACATAAGTGGTGTGTGTTAACTGTCTTACTCATCCCACACCATGCTAGGGTCACGCCCTCCCTGTAGCACCACTTACCCAGGGGTCGTGCCATCCCTAGTCATTAGTGTGAGAAAACACATCGCAATCACATTCTTAATCATGTCCATACAACATCTCATCTCATATCACGATTCCATATCACATACACAATTCCATATCACATACACAACAGATAAGTCTAACAAAATAAGGATTTACACATCCCTCAAGCAATTCACATTTAAATCATCAATTCTTATTAAATAATATAATAACATTCATAAATTAATATAATAAACAATAGAATTATCAATTTAATATAATTTTAACATAAACAGTAAAATTCCCAATTGTTCCAAAACCTAGCTCACAGGCACTTTTCTACAATTTCGTTCTCTCTCCCAAATCATCATTCTTACAAATTATTAGCATATTTATAATCCTCAACATATACAAAATCTAATGGGATCATCAATTCCTCAAACAGAAATCATCCAATTTTTCACAACCTAACTTATAGGCACTTTTCTATAATTTTGTTCTCTCTTCCAGAGCATCATTTTTACAAATAAATCATATATTCGTAGTCTTAAAGATATACAGAATCACATAAGACAATTAATTCTCCAAACAGAAATAATTATAAATTACTCATAACCCTAAGGGATCTTCCTCTACCCAATTCCCTCATGTAACTCTATATATAAATAATCCTTTTTCCCCCGTACCTGGATAAATAGGAACTAGGGCAGAACCTCCTCCTCTTTTTCCTTAAACAGGGACCGGAACTAAAACTAGGGCAGAACCTCCTCCTCTAGATTCCTCTTGGTCTTCAGAAAGAAGGAGAAGGAAAGAAGAGAGAACAAAAGAGAAGAAAGAATGAGAATGAGAGGTGTGTGAAAAATGAGAAGTGAAGCCCCCTATTTATAGGAATTCTGGCTCACTTACCACTACGGCTCGTTCTAAAAGCGGAACGGCCCGTTCTGGGCCCTTCAAACCTACGTAAATTTCTCAACTGGAACGGCCCGTTCTAAAACCGGAACGACCCGTTCTCAAACCCAGCAGAACGGCTCGTTCTGCTTACAGAACGGCCCGTTCTCCCTCCGAAACGGCCCGTTCTCCCTCCAAAACGGCCCGTTCTCCAAACCAGAACGACTCATTCTCCAAATAGAATGACCCGTTCTCCCACTTCATTTTCTAAGCATTCCCTTATTCCGAAATGACCCGTTTCACTTTTGAAACGGCTCGTTCCGGGCAACGAATTGGGCCCTTGGCCCAGCGGAAAATTGGGCTGTTACAAAATTTGCATCTTTGAATGCTCATACTCATTTTCATTTTAGATTTGCATTCCTTCTTTGGATGCACTGTATCCATCTTTGAAGTGTGCAATACAAGCAACATTATCTTCATATATAAATATCGATGTCTTTTTTTCAAAAGATAAATCACAAGTTTCTCATACATGTTGAATCATAGATCTTAACCAAATACATTCACAACTTGTCTTGTATAACGCTAAAATTTCTACATAATTAGACGAAGTAGCTGTTATGGTTTATTTTGTAGGTCGCCAATAAATGACTGTACTATCACTTATAAACAAATATCCTTTTTGTATTTTACCATTATAAGGATCTAACAAATAATTTATTTTTGCATAATCATTTAATTCTGGTTTGGGAACATTTGAATAGAATAACCCTATATTCAGTGTACCTCTAAGATAACAAAGGATTTGTTTAACTCCACTCTAGTGTCTTCATGTAGGTGAAGAACTATATCTTGTTAACAGATTAGCAACAAAT